AATCTGCTCCTAATATCTGCACTAACTCTGAAATTTTATTCATTAATTGTTTTATTTTTTTCTCTCCTACACCAATAGAAGTAAATAGGTTCACCTATCATCTAGTTCACACTCCTCATTTCTTACACTAATACAACTGAAAATGTTCAATAAAATCAGATTAACCAATGTTATTAACAGGTTCATTAAAATAAACATTCATTTTGTCACAAGTCTGGGTTTTTTTGGTTTTTTTTTTTTGGTTTTTTTATGAATTTACTTATTCACTGTCCCCCTCCCATTCTAGCTATACCAAATAGAATATGGAGCATTGAGTAGGCATAGTTGGGCTTCTATATTTGGAAATGGTAAGAAAGTATGAATTTTGAAATACTTTTAACGACACTATGATTAGAAGAAAGAAAATAAAAAAATAAATTCACAAATATTTAATTATTTAGAAAACAATCATTGAAATTTCTAGAACAAAAAAAGAAAGATGGACATGGAACAGAAGAAGAATTATATGATGGATGCTTAAAAAAAAAAAAAGTTGTTGGCTTGACCAAGAAAAAAGATTAAAAAATTCCAATGTTTAGTCGTTTGACCAGATATTTGGAAGTAAGTCTGGTTACAAACTTTCTACAAGAGTCTTGTGAAACCAAACACATTTTAGTTTTGTATGAACAAATTGTAGAACTTGTTAGATTGGCATGTGTGTGAGTAAGTGAGAAAGAAAGAAAATAAGTATATATGTAAGAGTGCACATGCTCATATGCATGCAAGAATATGTGAGAATGGCATAGCATGAGTGCATGCTTATGTGTGCATGTACAAGAACGCACACATGCATGAATGTATTCACACATGTGTGAGTGTTTTATATTTTACTAAAATATAACCTAATCAAACAAATGTATTTAGAGCGTTCCCATAATCAGAAATGGCTATTGTATGCTCATAGTCAAAAACAAAATGTTGGTGTAAAATCCAGATTATATATGCAACAAAAGTGTTCTATGTATTTAAGATGTAAAAAAAATTAACTCAAAATATTGGCAATTACAATTTTTAAAGTGATCTGCCAAGGCCAAATGCTCACGATTTGTGCTATTGACTAGAAATAATAGCCGAGGGCAGCATTAGGGAGAGGGAGATTTCTAAGTCCATTCCCTGTTGATATTGATTTTGGACATTTCAGGTTTTTTTTGTTTTTTCTTTCTTTCTTAGTGCCATTAAAAGATAGAATTAAAAAAAAAAAAAAATATCTGTCTATATTTCTGAGATGAGGTATTATGTACATTATTTACATTATTTGGACTATTGTCCTCATCTTTGTTACTTATATTTATTACGCGTCAACAGGCCATGGTACGCTCGGCCTTCTTCAAGTGGTTGGAATGTCAAACTGAACTCTTTATTTACGCTCACTGGGACAGAACTGTTCTAGTTTCCGTGCCATGTTTAATGCATACGAGTTATCAGTTATCTCCTATTAATTTTTTGAACACACTCTTTGGGCACAGTGGATAAAGGCGTTAGTTAGATCCAGTGACAAGACCCAAAGAGTGTGAGTTTAATACCCAGCTAAAGCAGCGGAGAACTTTCAGAGGGAAATTAATAGGAGATAACTGATAACTGGCATCCATTAAATATGGCACATGGAACTAGAACAGTTTACCCCAGTGAGCGAAATAAAGAGTTCAGTTCGACATTCCAACCACCTGAAGAAGGCCGAAGCATACCATGGCCGAAACGTTATAATAAATATGGCAACAAAGATGAGGACAATAGTCCAAATAATGTAAAAAAAAAAAAAAAAAAAAAAAAAAAAAAAATAGTAACAAAGTTCATTACCCTGTGCATAGAGGCTGTTCAATTTTTGCTTTTTTAAAAAATGAAAACTCAAATTGCTCTTTAAAAAAACTTGTCAAGCTGGTCCTGTCCTTTTATTTCCTTTTGACTATCTTTTTGCATCAAGCTCAGGCCTTCAAACAGCTCATACGTTTCATTTAGACGCTAATTAAAAGTACATCTTAATTGAGGGCATCAAAATAAAGAGATGATGAACATATGTAAACATTGTTCAGGACAAACTTTAATTGCCTGTCAAAAATATCCTTGCCAATGAAGAGGATTTGTTTTTTTTTTTTTTGGGTTTTTTTTTTTTTTTTTTTTGCTGCTTTCAGAGACCCTGAAAGGTTAGGAAATCACAATAACCTAGAAATGCTGAACATAAACATTTGGGAAAATACAACATTAATAGATGAGTCAAGTTAGTATGTTTAAGGAAATAATAATTAAAAAATATACATAATAATAAATAAAAATAAGTTTTAAATAAATCCGGCCTATGAAGAATGAAATAAAGTTTTAAGAAATAAAATAAGATTAGTTTTCAACAATTAAATACAATATAAGATTAGCTCCATAATGAAAGTATTCCAATTAATTGACATCATTCATAAATCTCAATCAATTGTAAGCTATATTAAAAGGATTCATATTTCTAACATAGTTTTCTGATTTTTGAACACTGACAATGGAATGGACACTTCTTGATATTAAATATATCAAACTATTATATATAACAAATACTATTAATGTAACTTGTTTACCTACAAGAGGGGGGGATTCAATGAAATATGATTAAATGAAAGAAAATATTAGTATACCAAACTTGACACTTTTTTAATATAGAAAAATTGTATCAATTTGAATTATTATTCTACTGTTTTTTTTTTAATCAATTCACTCCAAGCAAGGCAATAATGCCACTAAGATGAAAGGAGCTATTCAGAGTGAAAGAGAATGAGAAGACTTTAGAAGGAATCAGAAACCCAATCCTAAATAGGAAACAAGGGATAAACCTCTACTCCTGTTAAAAAAAAATGGAGTGTGGAATGTATCTACTCCTTATTTAATAACAATAAAATTGAGGAGGACTACAGTCTGAATGTAAATAATGTCAGGTGATGTTGGCAAATTTCTTACTTGATACAAGTTGTCTTGCTGCAAATGGAGGGTTTTTTTTACTTCAAATAAATCTGAGAAGAATCTCAAGTCATTAAGGATGAACTAATTTTTATACAATGCACAAGTTTTATTGCACACTGAAATCTGGCTACAGTTGAAACTTTCCAGAATTAGTTCAACCTGACAAATGAACTTATCCAAATTATTTAGGACTAGCAGCCATACACAGCTGGTGGATCAGAAAAAGTGTTCAATTAGAATGGAGCAAAAACAGCATCATGTTTAGATGTAACAGAGTTTATCTTCTTCAATTACTTTAAAGTACTTTCATTAAAAAAACTTTTTGAATTAATGCAGTTACTGATATAACAGAAGTAGTCTGTATTTATTCAATCAAAGTTAGCTGAGGACATGAAGACCCACTTCAAACCACAATTATATTGGAGTTTTTTTAAATCTAATTTGTCAGTGTGCTACCAGAGATGTAAAAGAGGATACATGTAGAAAGCTTTTAAGTTTGATGAAAATTTGTTGAAAGATCTATGAAAAATAAGAAAAAAAAAAACAGTTAAAGTTAAAAAAAAAAAAAAAAAACATTTTTTGCTATTTACATGGGTTTTCATCATATGGGCAGACTCAGTTATCAAGTTAAATGACCGTTAAACAATCAACTTATTGTTGGCTACAATCGAGTGACAATCGTTGAGCTCATCATGATGTAAGTAACCTACATACCAAGTTTGAATGAAATTGGAGAAAAAAGTTGAATTTATTGATTTTTTTTTTTAGTTATTGGTTTTTTCACTAAGAACCTCTCTCTTACATTATACACTGTATGTGTCAAATTTGGTCAAAATCGGTTGGATGGGTCTCAAGTGAAAAGTTATCACACAGACATCCTGTGTATATATATATATATATATATATATATATATATATAGAGAGAGAGAGAGAGAGAGGAGATCAAACAAATGAATGCAACACTAATGTTTCAGGTGTGATAAGTAAAGGCAAATTCTAATGAAGTGATGGATTTTTATTTTTAATCTGATATATTTTATTAGTTTTTGCTTTGTTTACAAAACTGGGCAGATATAACTTTCAAAAAATCAGAAGATGTGCTTCAAGGCAAATAGAACCTTGCTTTGCTGTGAGACCGCATAGCAAAGTGTTTTAAAGCATGCAACATTAGACGGTGGTTCTTTCTAGAGGAGAGGGCACTGGTTCAAAAACAGGCTGGAGAGCATCTTTTCTCAAAAGTGCAGACCTTTTAAAGTATGTGTATATATATATATATATATATATATTAAAAAGAAGAGGGGTGCCGCAAACGTTTTTGGTTGTAATGTGGATTTATTGAGAAAAAATATTATACTTTGTTTTACATAATTTCACGACACGTGTTTCTGGTCTGGTCTCAAGAACCGTCTTCAGGTGAAAGTGGAGATTTTTACATATTATTAAAAATAATTAATTTTTCTTCATGTTCAATGTGGAATATTCTCGATATGAGACATTCTGTTTGTGTGTTGGCATTCTGTTTGTGTGTTGGCAATCCAATATATATATATATATAGAGAGAGAGAGAGAGCATAATTTGCTTGCTTTCTGATAATTATAAATAAACTAATAAAATGATATACTAAGCAAAAGATTCTGGTACATCAACAAGAAACCAACTTAAGCTCTTGATTGAGTTTAAAGATAAAAAAAGTGGGCACTTGATGACCTTTCTGGAAGTGAGGACAAGGTCGTCAAGTTCTTGCCTGGATATACTTCACTCTTAATTTCTAATTAACAAATTCCTGTTCCACTCACCTTTCACAAAGTGAAAATACTTGGTTATTAAATTGCATTAAAGAAGATCAAGTGTTAATTTCTTGCAACCCAATCCTAATCCAAGCATTAGAGATATGAATGGTAGTAAAGGCTTTGGAGATATGTTGGTGGTCAGTTTTTGGTTTACAAGGAAGGAGGAAGAAAAAAAAAATTGAAAAGAGGTATGGTGGCCTCTTGATTTTGAGGAAACCTCTAAAAACATTTACCTTTCTGTGTGGTGTTCTCAGAAGATGGCCAAAAAGGCCTTGAGCACAATCAATAGGGCACTGACTAGAGAGTCTGAAAAACAAGTAATAAACTCAAAAATTTATAACTGAAAATGAAATGAAATTGGGGGGGCAAGATGAAAGAAAAAAACTTGGGAAAGAGAAAACAAAAAAGGAAATGTAATAGAGAGAAGGAAGAGAGAGTAGCAAAGATGATTAGGATAAGTGATAAAGAATAAATGAAAAAGAGAACATGGGAAGGCAGAGAGGGGGGAGCAAGCAGGGTATGAAGAGGGGGCACAGAGACGGGAGTGGGAGAGGGGGGCACGGAGAGCGGGGGAGAGAGAGGGGGGATGGAGAGCGGGAGAGAGAGACTGGGGAGAGAGAGACTGGGGAGAGAGAGAGAGAGAGACGCGAGCGGAAAGAGAGACGAGAGAGGAGAGAGAGAGCTGGAGCGAGAGAGAGAGAGGGGGAGAAAGCGAGAGAGAGAGAGAGGGAGCTGGGAGCGAGAGAGAGAGCTGGAGCGAAGGGAGAGAGAGGCGGAGCGGGAGAGGTGGGAGTGAGGAGAGAGAGAGGCGGGGGGAGCATGGAGAGAGAGGAGAGGGAGGGAGGGGGGGGTGGGGGGGCATGGAGAGAGAGAGAGGGGGGGGGGCATGGGAGAGAGAGAGGGGGCATGGAGAGAGGGGGGGGGCATGGAGAGAGAGAGAGGGGGGGTATGAGAGAGAGAGGCGGGGAGATGGAGAGGGGGCGGGGGAGGGAGAGAGAGAGAGAGGCGGGGGGTATGGGGAGAGAGAGGCGGGGGGGTATGGAGAGAGGCGGGTGGGGGGGCATGGAGAGAGAGGCGGGGGGGGGCATGGGAGAGAGAGGCAATAGGAGGACTAGAGTGGGAGCAACAGAAAGAAAAAAAAAAGCTTGAAAAATATGTTAAAATAAAAAAATAATGAAAAATGATACTAAAATATCTGCAAATGATGCTGCCAGACCCCCACTCAACACTCATTTTAGCTTGGAAAAAGAAAACTTAACCCGATCAAGGACTTAAGAGTAAGGGGGAAAAAAATTCACACATTTTATTTATATATATTAAATCCTATATTTTAATGGATTAGCGTTGAGTACAGAAATTACCTACTGACCTATTTAGACATCATTTGAATCATGCATAAAAAAAATAAATTTTATCTATTGATGATAATTGTTAGTAACATTCAAATGACAAAAGGATTTGCCATTTAAATGTCAATATTACAAGTAATACATTTTTCATTTAATAGACCATCATTGTCAAAAATATATATAATTAGGAACATGACATTAATTTATTTTCATAACGACCAAGTTAAAAATTTAAAATATTTTTTTTTTTAAATTCAGCACTAATTTTTTAATTTTATAAAAAGTCAACATTGCTATTTATGTCTCGACAAGCATTTCTTTCATCTTAATTTTACTTCTCACAACTGTCCGACCATTATTCTACAGACATAAATAAACAATACAGATCAGAAATAAAATGAAAATTTATGTAGTCTCAGAGATTTCACAATTAGATTTTTAATGACTGCAGTCAATGGTCAGTATAGCCTAATTGATAAAGCCGCTGTCACATAGAGATAGTACTAGTCTCACTGAATACTTATTCTTCATCTACATTGGCAGCAGAAATTGAGATGAAAGAAATATTAAAAAGTTAATATTCTGTATTATAATTAATAAAAGTGAAAAGAGCAGAAAGCAATCCAAAAAGCCTTGTATTTTCTTGATGTAGACAAACAAAATTGCTTAACCACTCTTTCCTCCATTAGGTAAGGGTTAGGGTTTTCACAATTGCTAACAACCTGAAGAGAAACATATTTATATTACAAATTTCAGCATTATCTGTCTATATTTCTGAGATAAGATATTATGTGAACTATTTACATTATTCAAACTATTGTCCTCATCTTTGTCGCCATATTACAACATTTCGGCCATTGTACGCTCCGGCCTTCTTCAGGTGGTTGGAATGTCAAACTGAACCCTTTATTTCGCTCACTGGGGTAGACTGTTCTAGTTCCACATGCCATGTTTAATGGATGTCTGTTGTCAATTATCTCCTGTTAATTCCCCTCTCCAAGTTCTCCACTGCCTTAACCGGGTATTGAACTCACACTCTTTGGGTCCTGTTACTGAAGAAGGCCGTAGCGTACAATGGCCAAAACGTTGTAATAAATATGGCAACAAAAATGAGGACAATAGTGTAAATTTCAGCATGTTATTTTTTTTGGGGGGGGAGGGGGGAATGTCAGACTTTATTATGTAATTCAAGAATTATTCATATGGTAAATAAATATAATAGTATCGTTAAGTATTCTTGAATTTTTATATTAAAAATGTGTTATAAAAGATATCTAACTTCAGAAAAGACAAGATGTTGTAATATTAATTGCCGAGAACATGTTTGAAAATGTGAAAAACAACTGGACTGATATCAGAGAACAATCAAAAAATCATGATCAAGAAAAATGACTAAGAAATGATCACAAATAGAAATTTGAGAAACATTAAACATAATAAACAAAATTGACTAACAAGAACATATTTGAAGTGACTAGTATTGGGAATGCAGGAATATTAAAATACATTTAATTAATGTATGTCTTTTAATCAAAGACATGAAAACACCAAATTACCACAAGTAAAATTTCCCAATAATTTTTATTGATCAATGTAGAGCTATATTGGTAGGGCTAAATGTTGGATCATTCGAGGAAATAGTCAACCAACATGCCCTAGAAGAAACAGAAGGTATAGTAATGTTTTGGGCTAGTATTGTTGGCAGTAAAATTATTGATTCCCTTAAAATTGATGATGATATCAAGATAAGTACAGAGAATTGCTGTATGTTTTTTTTTTGATACAGAGGGGTGTTTTTGAGTGGTACAAGATACAACCAAGAGGTTTTAAGCTAAAATGTATAGTCATACAATACAATGTTTCTTTACAGCTGTCTATTGTCAGTATTGAAAAAAAAGTTTAAAAGATATCAAATTAAGAATAACTCTCAGCCTCTCCAAGATATTAATCAAATTGGAAACTTGTGGTTCATCATTAAAAGCAGTGTATATAATAATGGTAAACCATATACACATATACAAAGAACATCTTTGGGAAACAATAAAAAAAATGCAAGTCATCTTAAATTCAAAACAGTAGAAAAAAAGATAAAATTAAATCAACAAATGAAGAAAAAAAAATCATGAACAAAAAAACACATAAGAATATCAAAACAATATAAATAAAATATTTCATTCAGTTATATATAATAATTGTGTTCATTATTTATAGAAGATGTGCTGAAAAGTTCTCAACCCAACCGAAAAGGAGATTAGAAATTAATTCATTAGATCAGATTCTTGAAAGCAGATCAAGGCAAGAAATCTTCAGCACCCAACTCAAATATTTTATACTGCACTTTGTTTTCCTAAAAAAAAAAAAAAAAAAAAAAAAAAAAAAAAAAAAAAACTGACAAGAAAACAGGTCTTTATCAAAAAAAAAAAAAATTTTTAAGAGTAGATATTACAAGCTGAAACTGACTTAATATGGCTCATGTAAATATAAGCATAATGCTGAAAATTTTATCAACACTAGCTAATAAAAACCATTATATTGTGAAAACATTGATTTGCACAATAAAATCCAACAGTGTATACATCACACACTGGTCTGAAATCAAATATCAGCATGCATACTTATAAAAGTTTAATAAAAAAGCAAACCAGCCATTAAACACAGCAGATTGTGGTTTTTTATTTTAAAATATTAATCAATTAGTAATGTAAACAAAAAGATCAACTATTAACAAATGTTTGCAATAATTGTTTTAGCTTATTTTGTTAAAGAGTTTCAAATTAACAAAAAGGTAAAGAGATGGATGCCTTCAAGAGAAGATTTTCTAATGTTCAGAGAAACATTCCACTACGATCATCTTGATGTTCAAGAATTTACTATAGGAATACCAAACTACAAATTTCTATTTTTCATAATTGATGCTTAAACTTGATAGTATAGTAAAAGAAAATTGCTCATTCATGTAACAATATTGAAAAACTAATAAAATAGGTACTTAGTTACAATTGCAAAAATAAAAATTTTATGTTAAAATAGAACACAGCTTCAGCTAAAAATGTTTGATATTTTCTGAAAGTCAATTATATAAAATAAATTTAATTTATAATTATTTAAAACAACCAAATAATTGAGAAGTTCCTTGAGATTATATATCTCCAAATGTAAAAGAACAAAGAAAAAAATTGCAAAGTTCAAAACATTAATTTAAAATCAGGGCTCAATACAAGAGTAGAGCAATAAATATTTATTATAGACTGTTACATTAGAACATGTAAGTTACTACTACAAAATTGTACATTTTGTTTCAACATTTAATAAACAACATCTCATCAGGTAGTTAACAATTATGGTAATAAATGATTTTAAATTGAAATTTATTGAACATGACTTCATTTTCCGGTTTTTTTTGGGGGGGGGCATAAAGAGAAAGAAAGAGAAAGAGAAAGAAAGAGAAAGAAAGAGAAAGAAAGAAAAGAAAGAAAGAAAAGAAAAGAAAGAAAAGAAAGAGAAAGAGAAAGAGAAAGAAAGAGAAAGAGAAAGAAAGAGAAAGAGAAAGAAAGAGAAAGAGAAAGAAAGAGAAAGAGAAAGAAAGAGAAAGAAAGAGAAAGAGAAAGAAAGAGAAAGAGAAAGAAAGAGAAAGAGAAAGAGAGAGAGAGAGAAAGAAAGAGAGAGAGAGAAAGAAACGAAAGAGAGAGAGAAAGAAACGAAAGAGAGAGAGAAAGAAACGAAAGAGAGAGAGAAAGAAACGAAAGAGAGAGAGAAAGAAACGAAAGAGAGAGAGAAAGAAACGAAAGAGAGAGAGAAACGAAAGAGAGAGAGAAAGAAACGAAAGAGAGAAAGAAACGAAAGAGAGAAAGAAACGAAAGAGAGAAAGAAACGAAAGAGAGAAAGAAACGAAAGAGAGAAAGAAACGAAAGAGAGAAAGAAACGAAAGAGAGAAAGAAACGAAAGAGAGAAAGAAAGAGAAAGAAACGAAAGAGAGAAAGAAACGAAAGAGAGAAAGAAAAGAAAGAAAGAAAGAAAGAGAAAAGAAAAAAGAAAAGAGAAAGAAAAAGGGCAAAAAGAAATTAACCTTACTACCAAGATAATAGACAAAAAAAGAAAGGCAAAAGAAAGAAGAGTATATTCAAAATTACATCGATACAAAGGAAGAGGAAAGTTAAGAAAATAACATGAGATGTTGATATGAATTAAGCCATTGAAATTATATTGAATAAGAGAATTCAAATTTGAACGGAAATGAAACGGCAATAGATACATTGGTTAATAATGTCACATTTCAAATTTTATTGCATTTTTTATGAAATCACATTCAAACAAAATTATCCATAGAATGTAAATAAAGAACACTTTATGCAATACATTACTTAACAAAACCAACTTTACATTATAAATTAGAATATAAAATGAATTTTAAACTTTTAATATTTTACATTAATTTTAACTTAGAAACTATTATCAATACAGCAAGATAAAGAATAAAAATAATAAGCCAATTCATGGCTAAGCATACTACCAGTAATTTACAAATACTAACCAATACCTAAAGCTAGAATAAATCACTGATGATAACATTAAAATATTTATATAAAGATAACAAAAGAGGAGTGATTATTGAGTTATGACATTTAAGATTGTAAGGTTAATTCTTTAATATGTTTACAATTTACTGTAGTTTCATATCGTTGATTTAATAATATATCACTATTCAAGAACTTAATTATTTCTATTTCCTCCTGCAGATAGAGGAAGCATGGTTCATTCAGAGAGCTAGAGATTCTAGCTTGTTTGAGAATTTTCCATTTAACCTTAGGATTTCAATTTCCAAAAATATTTAGAAAGTGAAGTCATATTTCATTTATCCACATTAGTAAAGGATGAGATGATTATAGAAATGCTTTTTAAATTGATTCATTGTACTTCCAATATATATTTTAGAAACCCTCGGATTTTCTACCAATGAAATAGAACACATATACACAAGAGATTTATTTAAGAACTTGTTAGATAAAAGGCATGGGTCGGGATTTCTACAACTACAAAAGGTTATCTATATGGGACAAATTAAGGTCAGCATTAGCATCAGTTATTATTGTTATATAAATTCAATATTTTATTGTTATGTAATTTAATTATTTTCTCTAAATTATTAGTACAATTATAACTAAGTTTTAGAGTGTTCCAATTGAAAATTTTACTTAAAGAATTATTTTTAGAAAAATGTTTCTCAATTAATTTTTAAAATCTATGTCCCAATTTAATATGAACTAACTGACTGAATGGAAGAGTATACCATATGATATTCCTGTTTCTACTTTTTCTTTTTGGAACAATCATAATCTTCTACAAATCTAATTTCAGAAGATCTAAACCCACTATCCCTGAAAACTTTATCACAAACTGTTTTGTTTTTCAAATATGTCTTTGCTGATGATGGAATATGTGGAATTACAGATATTGGGTGATTAGAACAAGGGTGGATATAAATCATGTTGGCATTGTTTTTCATGTAAGGTTGAAAGTTATTGAAAACCAAATTTAACATTACATCTAAGAAATCAACTTTTTTAATATTAGAATTAATAACAACGCTAAGACCAAGAATTAATAACTATGCTACGATTTAAAAACTATGGATTAATTTTCTAAATTTATCAACCTTACTTCCAGTAGATTTATTTACAATCAGGAGTTCATCTCTATAAAGCCCTATACTATTAAAATCAATCTCTTCATACACAGTGAGGTTGTATACTAAGAACAGTCCAACTAAGCCCAAAGACTCTGCAGAATCCAAAGATCCCATTGTTATATCAAAATTATCAGCAGAATTTTTAATTCACTGTTCATTGTTGTGTATTAAGACTGATTTTCTACAGTTCAAAATAATGTTTATTTCATCCTTCGAAATGTCTGAATAAATTTCAGTGAATTCCAATGCTAAATGGAAAAGGTCCTTAGTGTGGTATAACATTAGTAGTAATGGTGTTTTCATCTAGCTAATGTCTTATGTGATAGGTATTTCTTCCTCACCCTATCTATTACCTTAAAAAAAAAAAAAAAAAAAACAACTAATGTCAATATTTTAATGCTGAAAAAAGAGTGAATTAAATATATATATATATATATATATATATATATATATATATATATATATACTGGCTTCAACCACAGCCTCTAAACAACTTCAGAATCTCCTGGAACTCTTCTGAACAGTATCCTTGTTTAAGTTGATGAATGCTGCCATAATCCTTGCCTTCAGTTTATCTTTGGTATTACAAGGAGTTCTGTTAGTGTCTTGTTCAAATGCACGCCGCACATAACAATCAAGGGTGTTGTAGTCTGAAGAGTTAGGTGGCCAGATGTAAAGGAGGATGATATCGCAGAAATTGTCTGACAACCATGACTGGGTTATCCTGCTTGTGTGGCATGGTGCAGAGTCCTGTTGTCAGACATAGGATCTTCGAGCAACCAGCCTCTTGACCCAGGGCAGCACTACCTCCTCAAGGCACTTGATGTAGGTCACTGTGTTGAGTCTGAGGCCTTGTGGGGTGATGAACAGAGGTATAACATTGCCATCACTAGTGATCACACCAAACACCTCGGTAATCTCCATTACACTGTCCTCAGATTGACACACAAAAACTCTGAAATGATTGCATTGGAGATTCCATTGTGAATGGCAAGCAGTACAGCATGCAGTCTCCAAATTTCTGACATTTTCTCAGATGGTGACCAAGTGACCCTACTATAATGTGACAACATGCATGCTTAAAATGAAAAATATATAATGGTGACAATTTACCCATCATATATATATATATATATATATATATATATATATATATATATATATATATATATATATATATATATATATATATTTACTATATATTTACTTATAATAAAAAAGACAAAGCCTTGAAGCAGGTGTCTTGCAGTTTAAACAATCTCAGTAATTAATTTACTATTGTTTACCATAGCAATTTTTTAATAACCAGTACCATTTTAATAAATTTCTGAACTGTTGATTAATTGCTTTGACTTAATTGTTATTCTAAGTAACTGTGTAGTGACTATTGCTATCTCACTATATATATATATATATATATATATATATATATATATATATATATATATATATATATGCAGCATATTTTCATGTGTGCATGTGTGTTTTTCCCCTTAATTTGCTTCAGACAAACAATTATTTGTCTTAACTATCATAATCCTGAAGATGATATTGGAATATATAGAAAGTACTCGGGAAAATAAAAATGAATAAATATAACCATGGTACATTCCTTCCCCTCTTTAATCATGAAACAAGCTTATACTTGATTACAAAAAGATATTATTGAAAATAAACAAACACAACATGTCTAAATTGTATAAATCAGATATGTTTGTTTATACATACATATATTTATTTATTTAAGGATATTACAACAAAAACATGTAAGAATCACTACACAATTGCAGTCGTGTTTCAACACGTAGCGATGCATCTCCTCAGGCAATTGTAAATTACCAGTGAGTGAACAATTTGATTTCAAAAGCAAAATACATCCTCATTTTTTGACAAAAAGTAAAAAAAAAATTAAAAAAAATTAAAAATTACAAAATAAAAAAGGCTTGAGGGCTTTATCCTGATCAACCAATCAAACATGATCTACGTTAAATTCAAACTAGGCAAAAAAGAATAGGCAAAAAATAAAAATTATCTTACAAATGTGTCAAGGCAAAGATTTGAAATCTAACAGCAGGCAGAGATTAACTTAAAGACTGATACAAATGGCTACAATAAATGTACATATGTCAGACAGTCAACTCGCTTAATGACCCCCCCACCCCCGCTCTTATGAGCAGGGGTGGGGGGTCATTAGAGCAGTAATTTAACCGGATATTGCTCTACTATGTATTGAGGTCTCTTTTAAATTAAATGTTACAAACATTGGAAATGCACTCTATTTATTCTCATTGTACCTGTGTGTGTGTGTGTATATATATATATATATATATATATATATATATATATATATATATATATATATACACACACACACAAGAGAGTAAGTAATATTTAAACAAGGACTTAATACTGCAGAACATAAATACCAATTTTAAAAAGCACAAAGGCATTTCCTTCACCCTTTCAGACATAGTTTATGACAGAAACAAACGAAAAAAAAAAAAAAAAAATGGACAAATCCCACAGTAATGAAAAAAAGAGGTGATGAGGTAAAGTTATGAAACATGAATAAGGTATATTTATTGGTAAAATAATTTATGAATAAAAAAAATAAATAAATAGTTCCAAGTATAAAATGTGAAATATATATGAGAGAATAAGTAATAAATGTGAATGTCAGTGTGTCACACTTTTTCAACTTTACTCCTAGAGGCCATAGCCCAACATATCTTACCATTTTGTAATCAGACTGACTCCATGAACAAATTAAAAATATTCCAGGCTGGATCTAGATTCCTAAATTTTCATTACTACAATTGCTTGCAGGGATTTTTTTTTGTGACAAATTTTTTTGTACAATAACAATATTTATAATTTTGGAATAAATTTGGGAATAATCAAAATTAATTGCAAAATCCAGCAAAAGTCAGCCATGAAATAAAAATAATTGTTTGTACAGAAAATAAGGACAAAGGTGTATCAAGTTTTCTTTAAATTAAGTGACAGCAGAAGAATTATCATTGAACTTTTAAAAGATAAGCTTAAATATTAATGCAATACTTAAATGCAGCAATCGATTTTGAGTTCTTTTGTAGTTTATTGTTGCCTATCACATTTATCTGTGATGAAGGCCCAATCAAGCCCCCTCCACAGGAGCTAGTTTAAATACCATCCAACAGGGTGGCATATATATATATATATATATATATATATATATATATATATAATTAGAGTGTGCAGCTTATATTTCATATCATAAACAATTTATACAAAGAATTAAATAGCAATGTTAATGTGATTAAAGGCAAAATCACTTCATTAACAGGACTTAATGAGACATTAACTTACTATCAATTCCTTGAATAAGATCCTTATATTTG